GAAATAGGCACTAATGTCACCAATTAAAACTAATTTAATTTACCAAAACAGACATATTACTAAACAGAACTTTTGAATCCCAAGATTAAACAAAGCTAGTAAGTATACTTTATTGTTCAATATTTTTTATAAATAATGTTTATTAAAATTTAATATAAAATTCTTTTATTACAAAAAGATGGGATAAAAATATATAAAGCCAAAAATTTTTATATGTAAGTTAAACAATTATTCACTTGTAAATTCATCATTTTCAGATTGATCATTACTTTCTCGTTTTCTCTTTTGAATTTTTTGTCATTGTTTAAAATTTGCTACAGTATCTTTAACTAAATTTTTACTTGCTCTTCCTTTTGTATTTTTCTTTTTAGTTAAATAGACTTCTTGTGCAAGTAGATCTTTCATACGTTCTATTCTGTGTTGATAACAAGTTTTTATATTGGAGTATCCTTTTAAAGTATTTTGCATTGTATATTCAAAAAGCGAATTACTATTGGGGTCTAGATTTTGAAATGCAGCATATATTTGATTACTTAAAGTCTACAATCGCTCATATCGATCTGGTGCAGAATGGTCATCAATATTTATTACAGTATCAATAAATTCGTCAAGGACTGATAATCGTTCGATTTCATCTTGACTTCCTTTTATTTGTCGATATAAGTTTTTATCATCTCCAGACTTTTTTGTCATTACTTGTTTAACAAACTTGACACCATATGTTTCTAATGCTTTATCATATGCTAGATAATGTCCTTCACATGTAATATTAATGGATAGTACTTGATTTAATCTTTTTTGAAGTTGAGGATTTTTATGCAATTTTCCTAAAAAAATAGCAACCGATTCTGCATATCTATACTTGTCAGTAACTGGAAAAAGAGGTGCAAATGTGGCAAGACTTGCGATTTGCAAATCAAAATCTTCTCTTCGAATGCCAATTTTATGCGCTTTCCAATAACCAGCCTACCAGTAGTAATTAAACCAAACTTTTAAAATATTATTAGAACTATTTTTAATATTATTAATAGTTATTTTGGTATCTTTTAGATAATGATAAATTGCAATTCCAACTGCTGCCCAGATTAATTCAAGAACTGTACAAGTTGCATGATAATTCGAATCTTTTTCTAGATTTTCCAAATATCGAACACTGAGTAGTACTGCCATGTTAAAAATCCCATATCCAGAAAAAGCAGTAATTAAAACCTGGCACATATCTTTTGAAGTATGCCATTGTCCAAGAATAATATTAGCGGTAAGGTTTTCATTTTCATAATTTTTAAGTCTTCGAAAAATAGCTTCATCGCATGCAATATCGATCGTAGTAGCTTCTGCGTTTGCTACATCATTCAAAAACATGTCACATATTTTATATACATTTTTATTAGAATTTGGTGCTAGTCCAGGATCTAGAATTATTATTTTTGGCTTATCAAATTTGCATTCGATTTGAATATTTTTAATAACTTTTAGATGAATATCATTAATGTCAAAATTATTTATTTTTTCTAAAAGTAATTCTTCAAAAATTCTATCATAATTTCTGTTTAGATTTTCCATAACCATTGATAATCTAATCATAACCTGATCCAATTGTTCAGAAAAGAAGATTGAAGCCAGTTGCAAGTCTGAAAGAAGCTTAAACTGAAATACGATTCGAAGAGTAGTATGTGCAGTTTTTCATGCAACATTATAAATATTCCTATATATAAATGTCTTTTCTTTTATGTCAATATTATCAATAACTAACAGATTGTAAATATTATTTCTAACTTCAAGTCTGTTAGCAGGATTAGAAGATTCCATATGCTGTCTTTCTGTATGAACTTCATGATCCCAAATGTAAGAAATAATATGTGCGGAATGAAGAATTTTATAAAGTTTTGAAATCATATGTGAACGTCTACAAAATGAACCCAAAACATGAGGTAAGCAAATTTTCCATCTACGAAAAGCAATTCCTATTATAATTGATACTAAGAAAATTGTAATTTTGTTAACTATTGTTAAATCTAGTAGAATTGATGGTAATCCACGAGATTTTCTTTGTCGTTCTGCAATCTCATATTTTTTTTTAAAAAAAACTGTAATAAGGCTGCTAAAAAAAGACCTCAAATTTCAGAGCAATGCTGTAGCATATTGTTCAAGAGATTGTGGATTTTTTAAGGTCAGTAAATTGTTTTTAAGCACTATACGAGATTGCCACAAGGATTCTCCAAGAAGATTTCCGAATTGTGTGCATTCCTTTTCTTCTAAAAATTCTGCTTTTGCTTTATCACTTAAATCTATTTTTGCTAATTTAAATGCTATTTGAGTCATTAATAAAGTTGGTAGAATTTGGTTATCAAAAGGACTATAAATTAAATCTTTTGGCAAACCCGATTTTAATATCTTAATTGCTAGCAATAACGACCAGATAAGTTGCTGTTTTTGTAATTTATTATCCGATTTTGCCATTAATTTAATCCAATTTCTAAATTTTTCTAGAATTGTAGATAAATCATCATGCTTACTATTGCAACCAAAATTTGAAACTCCAGGACCTAATCTTTGATGTAAATAGCTACCGTTAGCTTCAAAACATTCTGAGCAGATATATAAGGGTCGTGTGTTATTTGTTGATTGAATGGAAATTAAAAGGCAAGGTTGTAATGCATCACATGATCGTAATCCTAAGCATAGAACTCTAATATTGTGTTCACATACTGTCCACAAATAATTAGAACATCCCTGACTACGCATAAAAAAAGTTTTATATTTATTACAGAATATGCATCGTGCATGATAGAGAATACTTTGGTCTGTTCCTAATGTTTGAATATTTTTATAATGTAGTTGATTTTGATCAAAAAGAAAATGTCAATAACAGATACCAAGTTCATCTAGCTTTTCATTCCATTGCATAATAGTATTACGATCAACTTCCCAAGTGCCTTTGAGTTGGGCAAGAGGCTAATTAGAACCTCCTTTATTAATTCTGTTACATCGTCATATTTTTTTTTCATTATTGTCATTATCTATAATGACGCAAGATATGTATTTATTATTTTTTACCGATTGATCTAATAAAATTTCTTCAATATCTTCATCAAATTCAGATGATATATTTTCTTCTGTTGCATTATTAAGATCATAATCCTCATTTTTGTTATCACTATTCTGCTGCAAAATTTTATTCCTAACATCTTGATATACGTTAATGTCGAAATTAAGAATAGGAAAGTTTTCTATTTCGGTTGCAGATTCACTGTCAGAATCAGAATAGTTCTCATCATAATAAGTGTCTTCCATCTGATTATTATTATGAATTGTAATACTGGGTTAAGATTTTTTAATAGTTTTTGCAAGCAAATATAACAATAAAATTATTTGATTATATTGTTAACATATGAAACATAAGGAAAAATACAAATTCCTTAATATCTTTCGATCCACTAGTCCAAATTGGATGAAACATATACCATTAGAATAAGCTCACTGAGACGGTCCTAATGAGCCAAGAATCATTGAAATCCAATCACTGGATCCCGAGATAATCAAGATCCGGCTTTTTATCATAATCTGT